GCTCTACCATCATTGAAGGAGGCTTGTTCTCAAAAAGCTCTTCCTCATGCTGTCACAATCGGCTTTCTTTTTAAACCATTGGGAGAACCTGCTCTGGAACAGCACAAAGAAAACCAGTTTCATCTGTGTGGTGATTTTTCTGCTATCTGAATCGTGTTATATCACTTCTCGGTCTTTTATTTATTTATTAGATTTTTTACTCCGCCCCTCTAGACATCTACTCGGGGTGGCTTACATAGATAAAAGCACATCAATATAACATATATAAAATCATAAAAAATACAATTATAACAATTTTCTTCTTTCAGCTAAAAAATATCCAATTCCCTCAAACAGCCCTCACAGATCCTTGTTTCCAGACTCTTGACTGCCCTCCTTTGGACACATTGCCACTTGTCAATCCCTTTCTTCAACTATGATACTCAAAACTGGACTCAGTACTCCATATAGAGTCGGACTCACGTTGAATGGAGTGATGCTGTTACTTCCCTTACATTGTACCTCTGTTAATGCAATCTAGAATGGCTTTTGCTTCCCATTCCCCATGGGATGACTCATATTATCTTGTGGTCTACTAAGACCATTGGATGTACTGCTGTCTAGCTACATGTTACTCGTGTTGTATTCATGCATCAAATTTTACCAGTCTGAATGTGTAACTGCACACTTATCCCTGCTGATCATTTTGTGTGTTTTGCTTGTTTTGATTCTGTTTTCCTCTCTATTAAGGTCATTTGGAGGCCTGATTCTGTCTTCTAAAATGTTAGCTACGTCTCTCAGTTTAGGCTTATCTGCTGTTTTCATAAGTATCCCTTTCATTCGTTTACTCAAGTCACATATAAAGACCTGAAACAACATCAGTCCCAGGAGAGAGCCCGGTGGTGCCCCACTTGTCACTTTCCTCCAAAATGATGAGGACGTTTTGATGAGCACTGTTTGAGTACAGTCATATTTTTAGAATGAAAGCAGCACAATCCACCTGAGTGTATTCCTTGTGCAGGTGCTTTTTTTGTACAGTGGAAGCCAATTATAAATGCTCCCAAGCTGCATGTGTTAGTTTTGCCATTAAGAAAAGAGAGGTTCTGCAGCATGCTAACCCAAGAGAAATTTAGTGACCGATATACATGTGCAAATTAAGTATACTTGCCTAGTTGGCTTATTTTGCATACTTTATTGTAGGCTTGCTAGTGATGGGGAGAGAAAAGGCTTTCCTGCTGTGCCTGGTAATGACGTGTCCCTTTCTGTTCTGAAGTATTACTGAGCTACCCATTGTATCTCCTCTAGCTGTGAGAGAGTGAGTAGGATGTTAGTTACTTAGTGTCTTGGACTGGAAATTCGTTCCAGGTTCAAGTCCCTACAGAGCCATGGAAGTCCCTGGGTAAATCTTGGACTAGTCTCTTGCTCTGTCTTGCCCTACCATGCAGGGTTCTTGTGAGAAAAGAATAGAAAGGAGAACGATGTACAGTACCTTAAGCTTATTGGAGGAAAGGCAGGATATATATGTGACAAATAAATTAATGCCTGCTACAGTTAGGGTTCTATTCAATTTCACCTCTGACTCTAGAAGTAGAATTTTCCAAACTATAGCTTTTGGCATGACTTTCCATGGCTCAAAGATAATAGGAATAAATGGTAAACAATTTATGTGTGTGAATATAAGACATGTAGAAAGTTGATATCAAGGAGTGCTTATTCTAGCTTTCTCTGGCAAGATAATTCTGGCAGTTATAGTCCATAAAAGAATTTTTTCCTAAATATTGGCCATCTGTATGAATAAGAAGTTTTTTTAAAATAATAGTTGCACTCAGATAATTAGGATTAGCCTTTATCAGAACAGCTTTGAAAACTCTTCAGTTAGTTTAATGCCATCCCAAATAGCACTGTGTGTATTTTCCAGGTCTTTGTATTAAATGTTGCATTGATTATAGAATCTTGAAATAATCCATGCCAACCTCATGGCTCTGTCACTAAAACATTCCAGTTCATGAGAAACTCGACATTTTATTTGTATGTAGGGGCGATAGAGTAAATGTGATTTGCATTGATTTCTCTATCTAGTGCAAGAAACATCTCAGTCTCATTATGGATTGGTGCTGAATGCTCTGAAAGAGAGACATGAAATGGAACAAACATTATTTGGAATGGAGAAAAGAATGCAAGATGTAAGTGTGGAAATTGTTCTTTATTTAGCTGAACGTTACTCCTTCTCCACTTCCACTTCTTAAGAAAATGGAGACTAATTATCAGATTGTCTTCAGAGACAGATTATACATTTCCCATTATAAAATAACAATCACCTTTTAAGTAGAATATTTAATCAGGGACCACAATTCATTGCTAATCAAAATTCAGAATTCATAAAACCACAATAGGTTCAAACTTGTAAAAATCAAGCAGAATAAATTATGAAAATTGCAAAAATATGCATTTGCTCCCTCACCTGTCATTGTTTATTTAGTTAGTTAGTTTAAATATCTTCAAGTTAGGCTCAAAAACCACTGAAAAACTAACACTTCTTCTTTGCTTGGTAATACACACACACACAAACACATTTGTGTTCCAAGCTGTGGAAACATTGAGGTTAAACTCAGGACATGAGCGGAGGCTTCACTACAGCACTGCAGTTTAACCACCGCCTGCATCATGAGGTTCTCTAAGAGGAGAAGAAAACTAGTTTATGAAAGAAGGGGACAGGAGAGACACTCAAAAGCATTATCCCAAAGCCTTTTGTCACTGTCATCTTGCCTTTAATTTTGCATATCTTAATGATGCTTAGAATATCAATATGATATTCTGACAATGTTCTGACAAGTGATGTGGATTAGCAAGGATCTGCTGGAAATGACTAGATAAACAATTAGTGGGCTATTTCAAGAGCAGTCAGAGAAACAACAGTGGAAGGAATACTATTCACTTATTTCTGAAGTTGTAGGTCACCTTTTAGGGTTAATATTCAAGACAGCTCACAACATGTTAGAAAGGAAATGTTCATTGTAAAATATTACAGTGTATAAAACTAGAATGGTCAAAATCTAGCTGTCATTTTATGCAGATGTAATCCAAATGCTATAGCTATTTGTAGCAAATTGCTGCAAGTTATAAAGGTAGGATGGATGTTCTTTGCCGCACACTGAGTTGTGTGATTCTGCATACAGCAGATAATGTTTACCACTGCCTTCATAATTTGTGGTAATTCACCTTCAAACATTATGCTGTTTGTATCATTCTTATCGGCATAACTAATAGAATTAGAATTTGAGGTTAAAATATTTTTATCGTTAAAAATATTATAACAGTATAACAGCAGTTGAATAATATCAACAGAATAAACAAATGTAAAGGATAGAATGGATATAAAAGAAACAAATGAAGAACATGAATACCACTTTAGATCACTGTCATCAGTTCAGCATGTTTTCATGGGCTTTGAAGAGGTTTGTGGTAGCACAACCAATATATGCATTATTTACTAGATGTTTAAATGTAACTGATAAAGAAGAAATTAAAAGCTGACCAAGCCCTTCCTGTCTTTCTTATCCTGGTCAATGTTCCATAGAACTGACAGGTCAATTTTCCTGATAACAAAGGAAATAATTAGGAAAGCAGAGTCATTATTACTTCTGAGTAGAAGATGCTCTGGCTAGGAATGGAGCAGTGATTGTGGAGTGGATAGAGATAATTAATGGCTGTCTCTCACCCCCTCCCCTTTATTTGGAGCACGTGGAAAAGCAAGAAGAAAGATAGCGCTTCTCTGTCTGAAGGTATTGCAGATAAAAGGAAACATCCTGCCTCAAACAGGCAGAAATAGGCCAGCATACAGTATGCAGGTTGCTTATAAACAATGCCGTATATGAACCTGTCTAACTATTTTTGGTGGTTAAAACAAATCAAATGCTGCAATATTTTTCAGACATTGAAATTTCTGTACATGGAGATAGCACCTTATAGGGGGGAAATGTCTATACTGTACTGTGAAATGAGAAGAACATGAAAAGGATTTTTTTTGACATGTGTTCATTTAATTTATATATTTGAACTTTTGTGTTTAGAAGGTGCTCATTGCCTTGGCTTTCAGTCGTGCTGTCATAGCAAAATATAACATTTGTGTGAGTTTCCTATACTGTATATTTTGCATCAATGTATAACATCTTCCCATACCCTTGTGATTTCCCCTTTATCCCCCATAAAATATGTAAAGTACCTGAGGTTTGAGAGGAAAGCTCAATAATTCAAGACTAGTTCACTATGACTTCTAGATCAAAGCCATGACAGTTCTACTTTTTACATGCATGTATGTCGCCTAACAATTCTACTTTTGTGATTACTTTCCATAGAAGGACACAGAAATCTCTGATCTGAAGTCTGACTTGCAGTTACTAAAAGTGAGTCTGGAACAATTAACAGTTCAGCAGAATGAGCAGTATGTGAAGCTCTGTGAACTCTTAGGCCATGTGCAGATCCCCAGTCTTTTAGCAGAATTGCAAGCTTTCATTTCTACTCCCAGAGCACTCTGCCATGTGAAGGACAATAGTTCCCAGACTTCTGCAGATATGCTGTCGACCCAATTTCCTTACAATCCCCAGGACAATGTCTTAAGTACTCCTCCTGGAATCAAGGTCTTTTCTACAGTTCCTGGCTCAGAGGGCAAGGAACATGTTGACATACAACAGCAAGAGGCGAGCTGTCTCCTAGCCAGAGGCCAGGATGCTGACAATACTCTTTCTGCCTGTGGCTTTGGTGCAGCCATTACTACAGCCAGCCAGCAGGGATACTGGCTACTTACACAAGAATTATGTCAAGACACACCAGTGAGGAAAGTAATCAAGAGAAACAACCGGCTGAAGGGGATTAATATTGTGAGACCTTCACAGCTGCACAAGAGTGACAGTGCATTCATGCAAAACAAGGCAAGTGAGCAAAAAAATGAAAATCTGGCCACAGATAAGAAGATGCAAAGTAAAAGTAGAAGCATCAGTGTCAAAGGAGGGAAACCAAAAATAAGTAGTCAAAGGAAAAAAATTTATTCCTCTAAGAAAGGAGGGAACTGTTTGAAGTCTGCCTATGCTAGTAGGAAGCAAAACATAACCAGAAAAGGGTTTTCTAAGTCAGAGAAGCCCCAGCATCATTATAGGGATACAGGGGAGCCGAATTTGGGAACTTCTGTTGTCAGTGAGAAAAGAATGCGGTGGGCCAGAGATGGAAAAGCAGAGAAAGGCAAACTTGCGCTCCAGTCTCAGGAAAGCAAACAGTATGTAGCTAATCTACAAGAGATGTCTGGAATTAAAAGGGGGGAGAATCTTCCCAGTACAAAAAATAGTTGTTTCTGGGCACGCTCCTCTCCGGAAGGCTCTGCATCCCCAAACCAGATGAGATGGCTCAGTCTTTTTGATAATCACTCGCCTGCCTGTAAAACACCATTGCAGCATAAGACTACAGCCTATTGCCCATTATTTTTTGACAGTGAATATTCTGATTAAAAGAACCTGATGAAGTCTGAACTACTGCTTCCAGACATCTCTAGTGGCAAGGCTAACTGGGGGTTCTGGGAGCTGAAATCCCAAAAATGACATTTCACAGTACTGGAACACATGTACCTGCTGGCATAAAAAGACTTGTCTTTTGGGTAGTTTTGTAAAATGTTACAAATATATTTGTATATTGCAAGTACAGTAGTAATATTCCCATGTATTCAGTGTCATCACATGGATGCTTATAAACTGGAATAAAACTAAGCTCCTTCCCTGCCCTTCATTTTCTTTCTTAGGCCTATTTCATGTTCAGACTTTCTTACCAGGAAGAAATCTCAGTCTGAGAAGAGGCTTAGACTTTGGCATGTCTTTTCAATCTCCTCACCATGAAAAGAAATTACTTGTGCTCATTTTCATATGGCATTTTGCAAAACCTGTCATCCTGTTGGATCCATCTCCAGAAAGAAGTGATGTTTTCTGCTATCGCATCCAGGAGAAACCCTGCACAAATAAGATGACACACAACTTAAATAATTTGTGTTCTCCTCATATTGAGAGGATGGGGGAGGTATATCATATGCTCATGACTCTTATAGGATTGAGATTCCTTCTTTAATGAGTAATGCCCAAACAGGCCTTTGACACTGCTCCCACACCAACCCAACAAATGCAGTTTCCCCCAAACTGTTGTTATGTTTATTACACTAAAAGAGGCTGTCATTGTTTACTTTGTTTTTGGGAGCAGGTTTTGAGCACAGGAATAAAAAGTAAAACATGTACTTGTTGTATTTATAATGTATCTGTTTGAAATGTGTTAATTTAGTGCTTATTATAAAAACTCTACAGACTCTGGTTTCCATTCTGAGTGGGGTACTAATCAAGCTGGAAGGATTCCTATATTTGCCCCCCTGCTGGCATGACACACATGCCACAGCAATGTGGGAGAGCACCACAAGAAGCAGATGCCATGTGGATTGGCGTGTATATGATAAAGTGTCTTATGTGGATAGCTATCCAGAAAGGAACGTGCATGGAGCTCTTCATTTCTCATCTTGATGTTACTTATCAGATGGAAACCTTGCAGGGAGGGGAGAATCTGATGCAGTGCTTTGTTCCGTGGCACCAAATAATTGCACCAGCTCTTTGTTCCTGTAGCAGCACAGGTTTGACTTCCTTTAGGAAGGTTTACTACAAGGGATGCTACCTCTTCCTTCCTCCTCCTCTAACTAATGGACGCTGCATAACTGTTCTTTTGATCTGTCTTCTCTGCTGGTGGGAATAAAATTATTGCTTTGTTTATTTCAGAGGAGTACATCGTGTGATCACTCAGTGGGTCGCCCTTGCTTCTTTGAATTCTATGTCATTTCTCACAAGCTGGGACAAAACAGCATTATTAGAAGACAGGCCTTTCTTGTCATGAGTATAACAGTTTTTTTCAGACAGAAAGCCACAATCTGGTTCCAGCTTTTAAATGGAACCTGGGGAACTGAGATCACTTCTTTGTATCTTTCAGAATCCAGATATCCCATAGCCTCTGCCTCCCATATCGGAGACAGATATGAGAACTTCTGGAGGAATTCAAAATACACAGATTAATCCTTGGCGTGGTATCCTTTCCGTCCATCATTATGATAGATTGTAGGATTGCGCATGTGGAACTCTTCTCTATATCTAAAGCAGTACTTCAGTCAGTGATAATGGCAAGAGGAGTACGCACTGTACTCACACTAGCTTCAGCAAATCTAGTAGCAATGACCTATGGTCCTGAGAATGGGGGCAGTAGACATCCCACCTTTTAGATGAGGTACTCACCACACACTTGGAAAATAAGATGGTGCTGAGATGTATTTAGGCTATAACAAGCCACTTGAAACAATCCTCTTGAAGTCAAGCTACATGACATGGTAAAAAAAAAACCCAAACAATACACGTTCAGCTCTGAATTTAGAAGCAGAACACACTTACAGTACTTGGTAAAATATATTTGTTTATTCTAGCATGAGCTTGGATCACCCATGCATTTTGCAAATTGACTTGCTTTGCTTTGTGAGAGAGGCCGAGAGTAAGAGCCCTCTCGGCGGAGTGCCATCCCTTCCAAAAACCACTGAGAGGGAGGTTCAAACTTCCCCCATCCCCACCCCTCGGAAAAGTGAACAGCGGGGGACCGACACCCAGGAACAGGAGTTGTGCGGGTGAGAAGCAGGACCACCAGAATTGGTGGGAAAGAACAGATGCCAGAGGCGTGGAAATAGAGGTAGGAATGGCAGAGATAAAAGGAGGAAATAGCCAGTTGCCACCAGCCTGGGAATGGGTCTGGATGCAAGGCCCATGGACAGGTGTCTGGGAACACTTGAGAGTTCTGAAGGCTGATTATTGCGGCAGAAGAGAGATTCCCCCTAGACCCTCTTGTTGAGGAGAAGCAAAGGCTCGTGAGTGGCGAAGGAGGTTGAGAGAGGAGAAGGAGGAAGTACAGCAGGAAAAACAAGAGATTCGCATGGAGGGTGGAGGAATTGAGGAGGAGAAATTATCCAGGGGACACTGGACAACCTTTACCCTCACCAGAGATGATGGAGGACCAGACTTCACAGAGGAGGAGACTGTTCCCCTACTGGAAATACCGGTCCGAGAGGTTCTGAAAGACGATGTTGCCCTAGACTGGCCAGGCCCGTGGAATGTATCCGGGACTAATCCTTTTCTTGAAGAAGCTTGG